ACGTTAGCATTCCATGCTTGGTGGAGCGTAACAATTCCTTTCGATGAGGTGGGGATCCTTTGGGGGTACACATAATCTGCATCTGATTGAATTTGTATACATATTGTTGGGATGACATTTTTGTCGAATGTTGCTTTCAACAAAACGTTTTACAGCTGTATTCCCGTAGACACATCTGAAAGGGTCGCAACACATTCAGTATATCGTACGGCCCTTTATCTTCATTATGCGTGTCCCAACCTAATACATGATTGTATAAATAGATTTTATTACATATTATTTAATAAAATAAATCCATACATATTAGCGTTATTCTAGTTGCTGTGATATATATGGGATATTCTTGGCTCTGGTTTTGATGAATAAGAGTCATTCTGAATACCAGCTAACAAATATTTCCACTAGTGAATTTTAAAAAAATGTGGAAACGGGTCATTATCCACGAATGGAATATTACTGACCTATTCACCAAGACACCAAGACACCAATATTATTCTGTTTATTTGCTTTTAAATATGTGAACAGATTTTCCACCTTCCTCTTGAACGATGGACAAGGATCGATTGCTGTATGGTTGATGTGCATGTAACACGACCTAACTCAGTCATGCCTTTACGACAAACAGCCACCTGCTTTCTAATTGGTTGGTTTAGTGTGAATATAATATAATCTATTGTTATGTAACAGGCTTTATAATTATATATATATAGGATTAAGCTCGCCAAGAAGCTTCGCCCTAGAGGGGATAGCTCAATGGGTAGAGCATCCTCGATACTCCAGGGGTTACGCTTACTTTCGCTCTCTACACCCCTGGAATATGTCATGGCAAAATTGAAGGCACAAAAATAGCTGTTTGATTGGTCTCGGGAAACAATTCTGACCAATCGCTAGGCTGATATACAATGTACATTGAAGATTACAAAGGAGAGACGCTCGACTTCAAAGCCTGTCAAATTTTACCGTTACACAGCCGCGAGATTCTTTTGATGTATATCAAAGGATCGAACTAGTCTTCTAGTCTCATCAACAAGGTGGCGCACACTCAGCCTTCAATTTTGCTATGACATATTCCAGGGGTGCAGAGAGCGAAAGTGGGCGTAACCACTGGACATCGATGATGTGGGAAGAGAGGCGGACGAGGAAGCTGGGGTAACTGGTTCGATCCCGGGTGGAAGTTCCTTACTCGATCTCTGTCCTGTTAAATCTTACTAAGTGATACAGTCAGTGTAATTCCTGTTAAATCTTACTAAGTGATACAGTCAGTGTAATTCCTGTTAAATCTTACTAAGTGATACAGTCAGTGTAAGTCTTGTTAAATCTTACTACGTGATACAGTCAGTGTAAGTCCTGTTAAATCTTACTAAGTGATACAGTCAGTGTAAGTCCAGTTAAATCTTACTACGTGATACAGTCAGTGTAAGTCTTGTTAAATCTTACTAAGTGATACAGTCAGTGTAAGTCCTGTTAAATCTTACTAAGTGATACAGTCAGTGTAAGTCTTGTTAAATCTTACTAAGTGATACAGTCAGTGTAAGTCTTGTTAAATCTTACTAAGTGATACAGTCAGTGTAAGTCTTGTTAAATCTTACTAAGTGATACAGTCAGTGTAAGTCTTGTTAAATCTTACTAAGTGATACAGTCAGTGTAAGTCTTGTTAAATCTTACTAAGTGATACAGTCAGTGTATGTATGTCCTGTTAAATCTTACTAAGTGATACAGTCAGTGTAAGTCTTGTTAAATCTTACTAAGTGATACAGTCAGTGTAAGTCTTGTTAAATCTTACTAAGTGATACAGTCAGTGTAAGTCTTGTTAAATCTTACTAAGTGATACAGTCAGTGTAAGTCTTGTTAAATCTTACTAAGTGATACAGTCAGTGTAAGTCTTGTTAAATCTTACTAAGTGATACAGTCAGTGTAAGTCTTGTTAAATCTTACTAAGTGATACAGTCAGTGTATGTATGTCCTGTTAAATCTTACTAAGTGATACAGTCAGTGTAAGTCCTGTTAAATCTTACTAAGTGATACAGTCAGTGTATGTCTTGTTAAATCTTACTAAGTGATACAGTCAGTGTAAGTCTTGTTAAATCTTACTAAGTGATACAGTCAGTGTAAGTCTTGTTAAATCTTACTAAGTGATACAGTCAGTGTATGTATGTCCTGTTAAATCTTACTAAGTGATACAGTCAGTGTAAGTCCTGTTAAATCTTACTACGTGATACAGTCAGTGTAAGTCCTGTTAAATCTTACTAAGTGTTACAGTCAGTGTATGTATGTCCTGTTAAATCTTACTAAGTGATACAATCAGCGTAAGTCCTGTTAAATCTTACTAAGTGATACAATCAGTGTAAGTCCTGTTAAATCTTACTAAGTGATACAGTCAGTGTATGTCCTGTTACATCTTACTACATGATACAGTCAGTGTATGTATGTCCTGTTAAATCTTACTACGTGATACAGTCAGTATATGTCCTGTTAAATCTTATTAAGTGATACAGTCAGTGTATTTCCTGCTAAATCTTACTACGTGATACAGTCGGTGTAAGATTTAGCAGGACATACACTGACTGTATCACTTAATAAGATTTAACAGGACTTACACTGACTGTATCACGTAGTAAGATTTAACAGGACACACATACACTGACTGTATCACTTAGTAATATTTAACAGGACTTACACTGACTGTATCACTTAGTAATATTTAACAGGACTTACACCGACTGGATCACTTAGTAAGATTTAGCAGAACATACATACACTGACTGTCTCACTTAGTAAGATTTAACAGTACATATACTGACTGTATCACGTAGTAAGATTTAACAGAACATACATACACTGACTGTATCACTTAATAAGATTTAACAGGACTTACACTGATAGTATCACTTAGTAAGATTTAACAGGTCTTACACCGACTGTATCACTTAGTAAGATTTAACAAGACTTACACTGACTGTATCACTTAGAAAGATTTAACACGACATACACTGATTGTATCACTTAGTAAGTCCTGTTAAATCTTACTAAGTGAGACAGTCAGTGTATGTATGTCCTGTTAAATCTTACTAAGTGATACAGTCAGTGTATGTATGTTCTGCTAAATCTTACTAAGTGATACAGTCGGTGTAAGTCCTGTTAAATCTTACTAAGTGATACAATCAGTGTATTTATGTCCTGTTAAATCTGACTAAGTGATACAGTCATTGCATGTATGTCCTGTTAGATCTTACTAAGTGATACAGGCGGTGTAAGTCCTGTTAAATATTACTAAGTGATACAGTCAGGGTATGTATGTCCTGTTAAATCTTACTAAGTGATACAGTCAGTGTATCACGCGATGCAGTACAAGGTTCCTTCTGTATTTTACATTATGATTATGATACAAGATGTTACATTATCCAAGAAGCTAGAACTCTTTTGGCAGAAACTCCTCGGTTGTTATCGACTGATGAAATCAACGAATTGAAACAAGAATGGGTTCCAAAAATGTTTGCGCCATTTTGTGGCTACGGTAACGTGACGACATTATTTTGTTCTCGACGTCTTTTTGCCCGTCGCTTTTGTTCGATACAAGTTTTCGGGAAACAAGTTGAACAATAATACAGGAGATTTTGACTAAAATGTTTTGTAAAAAATGTAATATGCATATTAAGATTTATAGATTTTATTTATAATAACTGTTATACCAAACATAATGTGTTAAGACCAGTTGAAATTCGTACAATAAATGAGTGTCGATGTGGCCGAGTCACATATAGCCCTCCACCAATGGGTCGCCGGTTCGAAGCCAACATGGGGCAGTCACCAGGTACTGGTCACAGGTCGGTAGTTCTTCTCCGGGTACTCCGGTTACGCCACCACTCAAACCTGACACGTCCTTGAATTATCATAGCTGTTAACAAGACGTTAACACAAACAAACAATATAATAATGAAGAAAATGGAAAACAGCTTTTTCACAATGTGCAAAAAAAATAAAGCTAAACCATCATAGGTATACGATTCACATCTGCAGAAGTGATTTGATATGCTAACTTTATATTTATTTTGTAATTGCTGTTGTTTAACAGTGGCGGATCCAGAGGAGTTTTTTGGCCTTCAGACCCCCCCTCCCCCCCCC